CGGATAGTCCGCTGGGGAAATCGTAGTCGCCGCTTTTTAAAAGCCGGCAAATCAACACGGAGTAGATAAGGGCTTGCATCTTCTGGCCATCCCACCCCCACCGTCCACCCCCGCCCCCCTTTACTATCGCCAGACAAAGGAGGGGGTCGCGGTGGGTTCTGCACTACAGATGCTGACAGAGGGACGAGTAACCTGGAGCTCAACCAGGGCCAAGGAACTGCCCGGGCCTCCTGGAGACACATTTCCCTATGCCTGCCTTCCTCCGGCTTTGCCCAGATCAAATTAGAAATGACTGAGGAATCTCTTCCCCTTTCCGTGGGACAGAGGAGCTTCTTGCGACAATATCGCCACTGGGTAGGGACGATATCCACTCAAACCCTCCGTTGGCTGCGGGCATCAAGGCTTGCGTCAATCAAACAATGAGGGGAAGGACAGGGCCGTGAGCCTGACTTGGGGGGCAGGCTGTCGGTGAGGACCGTCTAGTCTAGGGTGGGAAGGCATTTCAAACGAACTGGCCGCCGTAGCTGTCCCGTGAAGCCGACTGAGTTGCTCTTCCATGTGGAAAATGCAGTGATTTTCCATTGAGAAGTACTGAGAGAAACGCTGAGTCAGCACGGAACCCGCGCAGTCTCTGTGCAATCTCGGCGCAGTCCGAGCGCATGCTGTTGGGTAACGAGACTGTTGTCAGCAAACTAAGCAAGACCTTTGGCTAAAATGCCTTGCTTTCGGTTGTTTTGTTTCTGTTTTGGGTTTTTTGCTTGCTTGTTTGTTTGTTGGTCTTTTTTTTTCCTGATGGTGGACACTTTCTTGTGGCTCAAATTGTTTATCTTCTTAGGAAAAAAAAAATCCTCAAGTGGAGGAGATTGTTAGGTAGGAGCCTATAATCTATCAAATTCATTCCGCAAGAAAAACTTGATCTGTTTATTTTTGCCGCTTAAATAACACAGCTGCATGATGCCTTGAGCTGACGCTAGACGGTTGCTCATCATTCATTCGCCAAGAACTGGCCTAAATGGTGCCTGTGGGATTAGGTCAATTTTAGTGGATCTACTTCGCCTCATTTGGTTACTAATTGGTTTCTTGTTTTATAAATCGAAATCTCATTTTCAGGAAATTACAAAACCCATGCAGCTAGTCCATGGAGGTAATCCGTGGGTCGGGGGTATTTAAATGGAAATGGGTCGAGTATTAAGCAACAGTAAAACTTCGCCTCTATTTCCAAATGTAATGTGAGCTCGCTAGCCCCTTGGATCCGTAATAGATACATCCCTTCTAAGGCTACTTATGTAAATATGATAAGCCCAGACCTTGGTGGGGGAGGGGACGCAGGGAAGAAAGCAAATTTTATCTGCTAAGGTTAATGTGGCACATCTTGGAAATCTTCCAAAATAGATTATGTTTTGCTTTGTCTTCGGCCACTTTAGCTGGGAAAATCCTTTGCCTAAAAACGATTTAGTTATCCTCCCCCTCACAAAGCTGCTTGTTTCTATTCCAAACCTATTATGCTGTTGGCTCTCCAAATTACAAGCGAATCTTTAGATCTTGTTTCCAAGCGTAATCCTGAAGCAAAAGGGAGAGCTGATTTCCTTGTTTTGTTTTAAATAGACAATCAAAGGATTTGCAGAATTTTCTGCGGTAGGTCAAGTGCAAGAAATCACAGCTTGCCCCCTCCATAAAAGGAAATTGGATGTTAAAGCGAATAGACAGGGGAAAAAGAAGAATATTAATGGAGAGGTTTTCCCGTGTAATCTTTAAGAACAGCATTTAAAGGGCATCAGGAGAGCCCGTCAATCTGGGAGAGGCTGGGCTTGGCAGTGAACAGACATAGTCTCCGACTTGAAAGTGCTGAAACATCTGGGAAGTACACAAAGAACCGTCTCATGTGATAGGATTTCAAAAAAGCCGGTTCAGGTAGGGAAATGCAAACGTTTAATAATAAACCATGAACCGCCGCAGCCCAGAAGCGCGGGGTTTCCATCCGAAACACAGCGGGGGGAGCTCAGCGCCCCTTGAAGCTCCCCCCACCTTCCTGAGGGAGGTTAAACTTGTGCTGCCCGTCAGCTGCTCATTAACCCGCCGGCTCCGGTTCTTTTCCCTTTTGGAAGAAGAATGATTAGAGCCGTGAACTTCGATTAATAAACAACTTAAATCATAGGCAGGGAGCGCAGATTTCGCCCTGAATGCAGAAAGTTGTCACTCAGATTTCCCTCCAGCTGGGGGGAGGCATCGCAGGGAGCCGCCTCCGCTCTAAGAGGCCGCCCTGACTCCCCACCAGAGAAATCACAAAAACCCTCAGATACACAGCGGCTTTTTCTTTCTTTCCCCGATCAAGATTTGCCATCTCCTTGTTGATTTCGAGAGGGCGGGGGTGATCCTCCGTCCTGACGGCTAGCTTCTCGGGAGGGGGATGGGAAGGGCAGAGGTGTCTGTAGAGCCTTCGAAGCATCCCGCACGGTCTACCCGCACCGGAGGGCGCAGAGAGAAGTGAAACTCGAGAACTCCAGAATAAGTCACTTGGGTCTCCGTTAACTGGCGTGGAGGAATTAATGCAAAAGAGCCTGGTTTTGGCTGGCACCTGGGGCTGCGGAAGAGTGGGGGGGGACAGGCCAGAGAGATGCCCCTGCCTTTTTAGCGCTTTGAAGTTAAGGAGGAAGGAAAGAAGTGTAGAAACGGTGAAGAGACAAGTTGGCATGAGGAGGTGGACGAGGAAAGGGGTAGAAGAGAGGGAAATGGGCGAACAAGAGAGGCGCAGCGCTCCGGCGGTGAGGAGAGCGGACGAGGGCCGCCGCAGGATGCCCCCGTTCAAAGAGCCCGGAGGAAATCGTTAGCTTTGTTCAGACCGACAGACACTCAGGTGAAGCTGGTCAATAGCGAGGGATGCCCTCACCTGTTTGCCTCGAAATAGCTGGAAAACGGGGTCTTGCCTTTCCTAAGCCCACCCAGTGGGAGGGTGACCTCCCCGGCTCGGCTCTCGCTTCCCCCAGGCGATCTGCATCCCGGCCATCAATCAGCATTTGGGTTTTGTTTGTTTGATTTTTTGTTTGTTTTTTTTTTTGGTTGGTTGGTTTGGGTTTGGTTTTTTTTTTAATATTTCTTTTTACTTTATGTTAGTGTCTATGCGTATCAGTCTGAGCCTTATTTCACGGCATAAGCGTAAAAGGTTTTTAACTGCCCTGTTTAAATTATTTCAGCAGCAACATTGTGAAAAGGCATCACCCATAAATAGTTTTACTCCGGTGGAGTAATTTCCACCTGTCTTTCATTCCTCTTCACTTTGCATAGAAGAAAACAAGCGGCGTTCGAAACGGTAGACAGATCCGGAGAGATTCATTTGTGGAGGACTCTATTCGGAGGGGGGAGGCTCAGGTGCTGGTGGGACCGACCCGTACCGCTGGCCTGGCTGCGACAACAGTTTTCCCTTCTCGGATACTGTCGTGCCACGTTAACCGCATCCTTCTCTCGATATCAAAGAGACTCGACACCCCCGCACACCCCTTTCTTTTCTTTAAGCAACTCCTGGTGTTGTCCAGGATCCTCTCGGTGACGCCTGGGAAAAGGCGCTTTTCCCGAAGTTCAGGGAGCCAGTTCCCAGTAGCAGAAGGCAGCATTAAAAAACACTTTTATCTGGCACACTGTGTCACTTAGGTTCTAGGGATGAACTTCACTGATAACTCAAAATAGGTATTTTGGTATTTTTCTCTCACAGGAATTAGGTCTTTTAAAAACATTCACAAAAGAGGCTTCTCTGTGCAACGAAATTATGTCTGTTTTCGCGAAGATTGTAAGTACAGGTTTTAGAGCGAATGCAAACAAAACACTGGAGGAACAAAAAAACTTCCTCTCCATCAGGCCAACACAAGTCAATTTTTCATCTCCTCACCTGCCTTTTTTTTTTTTTTGTGTGTGTGTGTGTGTGTGTGCGCGCGCGTGTGTGTCTTAAATAAATAGGACTTGGAGAAGCCTGGGGCCACTCCAGCCGTACCAGCCCGCTGGATAATGTTGGACGGGAACTGGGATCCCATCTTTTGCAGGTACTGGCCTGGAAACGACAGCCATATGGTATTAATGATTAAAGGAATCAGTCCTTCGTCTGAGCCTTTAATTGCCACCTTGACTAATTTTTAACTGTTCACGTGCTTAATAAAAAGGGGAGCCGGGAGGGGAACAACTTCAGAAATAGGAGCCGTCGCAGTTGAATGTCGTGCCTTTTAATGGGGTTGGGGTTTGGTCCCTCCGGCTCCTTTGCCCCAGCATCGTCCATCATAGGGTCGGCAGCGAGAGATTCACAGTGTGTCCCGGTGACGAGTCCTGTCAATGTGCTGAGGTTAGAGGTGGTGTAGGGACAGGGAGTGGCTCTAGATACAGGTCGGAGAAGGCTGTCCTGAATAGAAGGGCTCAATAGGCACAAAAATTAGTATAGACACACTACAGTTAGGACACATTTGAAAACTCACTCCTGGATGAAATATTAAGGAATATTAGCTGTTAACGTCACCACGCATTTTTGGTAGGGTTGTGCGGCGTTTTGGGAGCCTGTTCTGCTCATGGTGCACCCCGAAGTCCCACCTATGTCTGCTGAAATGTACCTGAGAAATTCAGTTGTCCCTTTTTACACTACAAAGAGTTTTAGATCCTTCTCACTCGCTTGAAGGCTCCTTAGCAACTATTTAAGCGCTAAAAACACCAGTGACATTTGGAATGGGATAGAGGCGTTCAGGATGTCTAGGAACGACACATTAAGCACCAGGTAGACAGGACCTCTTCTTAGATACTTCCCAGGCACTTTGCATTACCGGGAGCTTTCAGCTGGGTACCTCTGAGAAGTGGGCTGTATCCCAAGGGTCCAAGAGCTTTGGAGGGATTCCTGTCCAGGACTTGCTAGTTTCGTCCGACTTCTTGAATGATCACAGCCTGAACAGATATGCACTTTTGCTAAAATAAGCTCAGGGGACAGGTTTTTCATGGCTCTATCTGTCTTCATGGGTGGATCTGTCTGTCTATTGATATATTTCTACTCCACAACCTTCAACTCGTTTCTACAGACGTTGGACGGTTTCATATTTGTCGTGGCTCCGGATGGCAAGATCATGTACATCTCGGAGACCGCCTCGGTGCACCTGGGCTTGTCGCAGGTACGCTGGGGGAGCCCACTAGTCTCCGTGGGTACCTAACGCCCCCCTCACCGCGCGGAGGGCGAGCGGTGCCGGAGATGAATCCCTTCTTCCTCCACCTCCTTCTCCCTCACAGGTAGAGCTGACCGGCAATAGCATTTACGAGTACATCCACCCTGCCGACCACGATGAGATGACGGCGGTACTCACGGCCCACCAGCCCTACCACTCGCACTTTGTGCAGGGTAAAGTAACACAGTCGCCCTCCCCTCTGGTCCCTCCACCTTCCACTGAGCTTGCGCGGCCGCGGAGGGAACCTCACAAGGGCGGCGGAGTCCGCGGCTCACCCCACATCTGCCTTTCCCCAGAGTATGAGATTGAGAGGTCCTTTTTCCTGCGGATGAAGTGCGTCCTGGCCAAGAGGAACGCGGGTCTGACCTGCGGGGGTTATAAGGTGCGTGCCCACGGCCAGGAGACTCCCCTGGCCTCCCCTCCGACCTTCCCTCTCCTCCGCTCCGCCAGCGCCAAGCACGCAGAGCGGGCGGTGAAAACGGTGACAGGAGTGGGGGTAAGCCCCCTGCTCGGGGGGATTGCCCCAGCCCGGTGCTCTTTCATGTGGTCCAGGGACAGAATTTCTCTCGGAGTTTCACGTTTAAAGAGCTCAAACCTCAAAACCAAGCAAACGAGCTCTCCGTGGGGTTATTAGTATTTTTAATTTTGCTTTTAAAACTGAATCTTGCACAGCCACTGACGTTCCCGAAGTGTCTGGGGAAGGTGGCAGGTGTCACCATGGGAGCCCTGGGTCAATTTCTTTCTTTATTGGGTAACTCGTCAGCTTCAGGGGCAGCTCTCGAAGTCCAGGGTTTTGCCCGAGTGTTTCACACGGTTATACTCAGGGCTTCTCGGTGGGGACAGCGGTCAGCTGCACAACGCCGGGGAGCGGTGGGTACCTATAACGTCAGGAGATGTTGTACCACGAAGTGTCCCAGAACAGGAACATGAGTTGAAATTACTTCATGAAGAAACTCCTTAATAGTAGAGAAGTAAGACTGGAAGTACACAGCAGTCATCTGCAAGGAGACATTTAGGAGACATACCTAAATCTACTTTCTGGCAACAGATCGTGTCTGCTCTTTCTATATAATAGACAAATCTTACACGTGTGACATATGCACACATGTAAACTCTCTCACATGCACACACTCCATTACAAAGTTGTAACTGGCTTGGCATTTCTATGTCTTTCCTTTTCAGAAGAATAATAAAAGCTTAGCTAGGAGGTGGTCCAAAAACCACTTAAGTCAATGGAAAAAATATCTTGTTGACTTTAATGGGCCTTAGATCAGGGCTGAAGAGTCATATGGAAAAAAAACCCCCAAACTCAACCCAAAGAGAAGAGCAGCAAACCGGCAGGCAGGAGCGGCAAGGGGATCTGGCCAGGTCCACTCCGCGGGGAGGGACGCCTGTCACAGCACACCCCCCCCGGCCCACTCCTTGTTAGGCAGCCTCTGAGCTCTCCTGTGTCTCCGGCAGGTCATTCACTGCAGTGGGTACTTGAAGATCCGGCAGTACAGCCTGGACATGTCCCCTTTCGACGGCTGCTACCAAAACGTAGGCTTGGTTGCCGTGGGCCACTCGCTGCCGCCCAGCGCCGTGACGGAGATCAAGCTCCACAGCAATATGTTCATGTTTCGAGCCAGCCTAGACATGAAGCTCATATTCTTAGATTCCAGGTAGAGCCGGGGTTATTTCCAAATCCCTAGCCCTTCCTTTTTTGTCCCCCATGCCTCCTCTTCTGTCCTCTCATCCACTGATATTTGCTGCTTATGTCTTTTACAGGGTAGCTGAGCTAACCGGTTACGAGCCCCAGGACTTGATAGAGAAGACCCTTTACCACCACGTCCACGGCTGTGACACCTTCCACCTGCGATGCGCGCATCACTTGTGTAAGAGGATGATGTTCGTGTAGACACCCTGTCCCTCGACCCCGCCCTTCTCCATCTGCAGATGAAATTTGGGCTTGCTAGGGTCTACCTCTAGGTTGGAATCGGCAAAGTCAGCTCAGTGGAGGGGAGAATAAGCAAAATCTGCATCAGGTTTTAATGAAAAAAGTCGTTAGAGACTGAAGTCGGAGCTGGAGGCAGGAGGGAGGTGGAGGGGATCGGCTGTGAGGGCTATTTTCCCCCTCCTCAGCTCCCGGTTGTAGGACAAGGACGGCCCTGCACATACCTCAGGCGCTCAGTTCAGTACAAATTGCAGTTAGAAAAAAATCCCCCTTTTTTCTTGCTCCAAAAGGACAAGCCAGAGAAATACAAGTACTTTGTTCCACTTCCACCAAGTCTCCCAAATCTTATATGTGTATCTAATTTTGACTGCTGTAGCAAGCTGGATTCGGAGAGCAGTTCTTTATTCTATTTTGATATCACGATGACATTAATACATGGATAGATGAATAAAAAAGGATATTAATTTCCGGTAAGTTTCCTTACAGACAATGTAACGAAAAAAGATAAAACCCAAAGCCAGGTTTATATAATTAAATCTCAGTGACGATATGTGGGGGTGAGGAGGATTGGGGGGATTCACCCCTCCGGGGTATTCACCCTGCCCCATCAATTTCCTAGAGTAATTTTGGGTAACGAGCGGCCCGACCTTCAGGGGCTGAGATCAGCACTGCCCGGGGCTCTGCAATCCTTGCTCACGGGGGTTTCGGTCCACGCTGCTTTCCGATGTGATGCGAAGGGGTTCCCAGTTCCTCTCCTCGCCCACGGGAGTCTGGGGGGAGAGGGAAGGCGATCCAAACGGCGACAGGGGCCACGC